ATGAATGTTTGTTCAGTCCATCTGTATGTGGTCCAGATTCCCACTGCACAAATGAAATTGGAAGTTATAATTGCTCATGTCTGGATGGATTCACTGCAACAAACTCAAGTCTCCCCATCAGCATCAATAACACATGTAGAGGTACATTTTATATTTAGATTTGTGTTTACTCTAACTTTGAATAATTAGCTACAGTTTATTCAATTGATTTTTACTTTCTATTTCATTTTTGTAAGCATTCTGTTGAAAATATGTCAAAGATTGAGTTGACCTTTACATATACAGTATGTATGAGTGACCCAAACTGATTTTTCCTGTAACTTTTTTAAAATTATAGATGTGAATGAATGTGTTGAGATATCAGATATCTGTGGTCCAAACTCAATCTGCAACAACACTGTTGGGAGTCACAATTGCTCGTGCATGAGTGGATATAGTGTAACAGACCCAAACCTCCCTATAAACCACAATAACACATGCAAAGGTAGGATTGACAACTAGTATTTATAGTACAAAATCATGTCAAAGGACTAATGAGAGGCTTATCATGTGTTTTTTTTTAGTTTGTTTCTTTTTTCCCAAATACAACAAAATCTGAGATGTTTCTCAAAGCTGTAAATATTTCCGTATTTTGGTCTGTTGAGTAAAGGTTCAAGAAGTTTCAGAGTTTCCCACATTTCCTTATGAATTATTATTATTATTATTATTATTATTATTATTATTGTTGTTGTTGTTTTGTCTCAGTGCATGTGTTTTTATCATGGAGAAGCTATGGAAGTTTTTTTTTTTTTTTTATGTACATCCGCTAAAACTCTTGTTTAATTTTAAGTTGTTTTCTTTAAAAAGATTTTATACAAACATAAAACTGTTGTGAGCTGTACTAATGTGTACAAATGAGTATGATTTTGATGTGCAGTTTGGACTTGCAAATTTAAGTCTAAAATAGACCTATTTTTCTTCAGGAAAATTGTTTCAAAATCTTATTTTTTCTTTAGTGTTTAATGATGCTGATATTGCACATTCTCAGTTCTTATTCTCTGTATAGATGTAGATGAATGAGAAGAGATACCAGATGTATTGGAGAAGGGTCTGGCTGCAGACATGCACTTGCATTTTCAGACTTACACTCTCAGACTTGCACTCTCACACACCTGCACTTCCGCGAGTGACGTGACGTTGCAGTCTTTTTTTATTTTTAATTTAATTTATTAATTTTTTTTTTATTGAATCTCTTAACATTTTACACAAGTAGCCAGGTGGTGAAGACAAGAAAAAAAGAAACTAAATCACGAAGTCACTTGTTGAGCACAACGAGTAAACTTATACTTTTCCTCCCATACGCCTACAGCAAAACGCTTAATGTGCCATAACGGACTAAGATGATAAAGACCAAATTCAGTATTTCTTATTGTTGATGCAAACTACACAGACCATATGAACACGCATTAAGAAATTCATTAAGTGATATTAAATGGACCAACTCTATTCTGGTCTCACCTGCTTATCTGTACATATTAATTGTGTTTTAATAATGAAGAGGAGCATATGAGGTCTTTATAATCTTAGACCGTTATGCCACATTATGCCACCTTTTGCGGTATGGGAGGAAAACACTATATACATACATTATATTAATAAACTTAATTTGATCTTTTAATAGTACTATCTTAATACATTAAGCCATAGCCTATTAAATGTTTATGGTTTTCTACGGGAGGTTTAAAAGCGCTTAATGAGAGACTTCGCGCATTGCATTCATATTCTGCTGTTCTGTGGCCACGGATTTGCGGGTCTTGTCTTTTTCTCCTACAGATGACTTGCAGGACCCTGTATGTTATAGTACTAAATTAGTTTTAATCATTTAACCACCACAGCGTCTTGTCTCCATTGGCA